GAATCAGAACAGGAAAACAGCTGAAAGATTCTAACTTTTATAGATTTTCATTGATAGACGATATGATAAATAATGAATTTTCAGATAATGACCAACAGTACCCAAAACTGCATGTATTGAAACGAGGTGATCTATTTAGTTTGATTCTAGTGAAAACATGCAATATGTAGTCAAAACATTACAATATTTTTTTTATTTTAGATTATCAAGAGCTTATTTCATATTGATACATGTTGAAGGAAGTAGTATCAGTTAGTCCAAATCACAAAAAAAATCATTCAATATGTAATATTTTGATAAAATTTCACATCTAGTCTAAATCATATAGTTAAGATTTAAATCAAACAATGAAAAAAAAATCAAACAAAATTATTTTTTTCTCATTCAAAACACCTATATTAAAATCTCTACTGTTGCACAAAAAAAATTGATAACTGAATCTTTGACATATTCATTCATTCATTCATTCATTCATTTCCTGGAGTTGCTCGACCAGCGCTGGGGACTTCCTTGTTTAGATCCTGTGTTTATAAATAAAGCTTATTAGTCACACCAAGAGTCATGAAATGCAATCTCAACTCGTGCTTACACTTGCATCAGTTTGCTTATTATGTAGTAATACCTATAGATAAAGTAATACCTTATAACCATTCTCCTTGCACCAGTCATTGAAGACTTTCTTGAATTTTTCCTCTTTTGTTTTTATTTGTTCATCTGTTAGTTCCTTAGGATTCTTCCAGTAAACCCTAAGCATCTCGTCAGAAAACCAGTCTGGGAGGACACTGAACACCTGACATCAGGGACAGCAGCATAAAAATTACATATTACACAGCCAACGTTGTTTTATTGAGGTGCATTAAAAAGAACGCAGCATATGGAAATCAAGGCTGTAGTTCTCACATCTGATTTGGGGATTGGTTCTCCTTTATCAGGGTTATCCTTGCGATAGAAATATGCTTTACTGATGGGGTCAACATTTTCCATCCCATAGTCCAAAGTGACCTCCTAAAATGAAATGTTGCAGAGAAGCCTGTATTCATAATATGTAAATAATGACCCAGTGGAGGTTTAAAACATATTTTAAATAAAATGAACAAAAACAACAACAAGATTTTAAGAAAAGTTTAATGAATTAATAAAACTCACAATAACTTCAAACTTGTCATCAGGAGAGCATTTACGCAGTTTATCTTCCAAATCCTTCTTAATTTTCTGAAGGTGGAGAAGACAACAGTGTCTGTTATTATTATTGTTTTCTTAATCTTGTTTAGTCTTCTTGAGCTGTTCTCATTCTTACCTCAAGTGTTTCCTTTTTTTTTTCTTTTTTCTTGTTCTGAGAAAGGGGGCAAGTGGGAGGGAGAAGAAAAGATTTATTTAGCACAGAAAACACAATCACATTAAACCAAATATTTAAAGATAATGTTTTTCTTAATTTCTCTGTTTTAAAAAGGATTTTTTTACAATAAATATTGATTTACAGCTTGGTGTTTTAGAGGATACATAGAAAATGAGTCTTGGAATCACATGAAACCACATATTTAAAGATAATGTTTTTCTCAATTTCCCTATTTCACACAGGAGTTTTCACACCCACCACATTTGAGCTGTTCCAAAACATTCTTCAGAAAATATATATCTATAAATGTACAGCTTGGTGTTTTAGTACTTACATGAAAACGACTCTTGGAAAGTAGTATTGTATGCTTTGTAAGTTCAGGTTCTGAGTTTCCCTCCCTCCCTTCCTCCATCCATGCATCCCATTCAGTGTGAATACTGGGCTTTTAATACAGGCACATAAAAACATAACTGCATACCTTTGCTTGACCCACACAGCGGTACAGCTCCCGTTTCATGACCCTCTTTAGAATCTCTCTTGCCTTCTCCAAATCTGATTCTTTTTTCCTTTCTTCCTCAGAGGAAGGTTCCTTCCTTCCTTCCATGACCCTCTGTAGAATCTCTCTTGCCTGCTCCAAATCTGATTCTTTCTTCCTTCCTTCCATGACCCTCTGTAGAATCTCCATTGCCTGCTCCAAATCTTGTTCTTTTTTCCTTTCTTCCTCGGAGGAAGGTTCCTTCCTTCCTTCCTGGTAATGGAGTATTCTTTCAAACACATGATCTTCAGAGTAAACACAGAAATAAATTGGAAGTTAAGTCAGTTCAAACAAGATCAATTTAGTTCAGTTTCACAAATGTATCAGTAATGCCTTAAAGTTATTTATACAAATTTATATCACAAAAAACCCAGCTGAATTATTATAGCAAACATTACTAAATATAATGTAACAGAGTAAAGCCCATCTGCAGACAACAGTAGTTTAAATCAATATACAATTAAATTAATTTAAAAGTGTCAGTCAAAAGAAACAGTCCTATTTGAGTGTTGTCCGTAATCTTTTACAATTTGTATTTGGAGATGGTTTATCTGAAATAAACTGAATGAGAAAAATAAATACAGTTACAATAAAAAAAAAGTGTATGGATAAACAATTTATAACTTATACACAACACAGATTGAAGCCACTACCTGTCAGCTTTGTGTATGCCTCCATGTCACCATTTGCCCGGGAGATATTTAGCATCTCCCCTTTTGAACTTTTAATTTTGAAGTCTGGATGGTCATCTACTAGTATGAGGGCATCTTTGAGCCTAGATAAAATGACGCAACATATGACTTCAGGGGCACAACTTCAGACAAGCTAAATGTTGTGTAGTATTGAAAATGGAACTCTAGGTACTCACATAATTTCTACTGCCATTTTTATCTTGTGCTGGCAGGCTCTTCTGTGGATCGAGAGCCTTTGCTGGAATATGTCATACAGGTTTGCAGATTCCTGTTGACAGCCATAGTTTAGTTATAGCTACTCAGATTAATTGTTCCTTAAAAATAAATGTTAAAAAAGCAAAAGTCAATACCTTGTCTCTAGAGCAAATGTGCTTAGTTTTTTTCCTATCCTCCTCCACATCACACACCCTGGCAAACATGACGAAGCGCTGATGGTCAAAGCTGTTCGGAATGCCCAGGTGGTGGCAATCCCTGAGATGGGAGAGAGGAAATATGCAAATAAAAAAGAAAATAAATTTTAACAAAACCTTAAAAAAACCCCTCATCAACTTATGGTAAAAGTTGTTCAAAGAACCACGAAGTGTGCTACAAATAGTAAATCATAAAACTAACGAGTTGAAAGCAGAAAACAGGACAAAGTAGTTTTGCGCATTGCATCAAAATATGAATATTTCTTTTGTAAAGCAAGATTTACCTGGCTAAGTAGTCAAACTTGTCAACATCAATCCCGGTTTTCTTGTTTGACACAATTTCATAGAGAAAGGATTTTTTCTCTTCTCGACCTTTATATAGCCACTGTGGAGACAAAGCCAAAAGACAAACATTAGACACTAAGACTGAAGAAGTCACTTGAATGAGTGATGAAACGTTCCTCCCACTGAAAACGCTATGCCCAGATGAGCAGAATCAACTTTTTGGGATTTTCTTGGCTGAATGATTGAGCATGCATCAAGACATTAGACACTGACTTCTGTAGGAAAGACAATACTTAATTCACCCAACTGACCAGTACCTCCTTGGAAGCATCATTGTTCTGATGTTCATTATCCTGAGCTGCATCATTCTGAGGTTTTTTATCCTGAGGTTTCTCAATCATTTCTTCAATAAACACCAGGTCAGTTCCATCTTCATCTACTTTCAGTCCATATTTCTTCATCACTTCTTTTAAGCCATTTTGAACCAGTAGGTGTTTAAACATTTCAATAGAGGCCTTCTCATGCTGAAAGAATACACAGGTGGATGCTTTAGTGGCGACAGGTTAAAATGGAAAAAAAAGCAAGCATGCAAACCTTATTTTTATTGCACGTTTAAAAAACAGCATCAATTTGCTTTACAAAGTCAATGTACAATATCTGAATTAAAAGCAATACAAAATGAAAAAGCCAAAAACAAGCAAACAAAAGAGCCCTTCATAAAATAAAATAACTTTACCAAGTGATCCCTTTCAGACATCATATCCCCTCATATCCCTCTATTATTGTGGACAAGACAATCATACTAAATTTTGAAGTTAGTGCATAGATTTAGTATCTTTAACATATATGTTACTTTATTCCTTTGGGAAGACAAGAGTGGTTGTTGGTTGATCAGCATTAATGACAATTTGCATATTAATGGCCATTGTTCATCAGTGGGCTAGTTTCAGTCATTATGCAAGTGTACTGTTTATAAAGTTGGGGACACCCGCACTCAAACTGAAATTTTGAATTCTAGCATTAGAACACTTTTTTTTTTTTTTTTGCTTTCCTCTTGCTTTTCTCATGTCTTACTGCTTAATCTTCATCATCCTTTGTCCACTATATCTACTATTCCTTCTCTCCACATTTCCAAACCATCTCAACCTTGCTTCCATTTGTCACTCGGGTTCAGTGGCCTCTGAAGCGATTACTGTCTAGAACACAGATCATCTGTTTTTATCTACCCATAAGTAGTTTGCACTCAAAACAACTACAAAAATACAGAGTTGTAACTAAAAAACAAACAAGATCTCCCAAGAACTGTTGCTGATGACCTTGTTGGTAATGTTTTAAGTGACCTATGCACTAAACCTACTACTACAATTATTACCAAGGGACTGAATGACACTGTATTAATTCAGAGTACGGTAGTCTGAATGCTGGTAAATTTTTCCCCAACTTAAGAGACTCAAGAGTCTGGGTCATTGTATCAGACCACAGTATCTTGTTTTATTTTTTGTTGTTTTGTTTAATTTTTGTTGCAATCACTGGACTACAAGAAGGACAGTGGTACATAGGGTTCAGAATTGATAAGAATTTAGCGATTCCATTTCCATTATCAATATCACTTATTGATTCGATTCCTTCTTGATTCTCAATTCTCATTTGCTCATTGTCACCAGCATCTCTAAGCAGCATACCAAAGACATTAACTTCGTGCAAATTAATTACATGCTGCGTGGTCAAATGTTTGTGAGTGTTGGAGGTATTTCCCCTCTTTGTTGGGCTCAGTGTTGGGGTCATCAAATCTGCAATTGAGATTTTCAAAACTACACATCATGTCTTTAGCATCTTATGTTCTTTTTAAAATGATTTATTTTAGTATTTTTAAAATTTTGGCATTACAGTGTGTTATTGGTCATGGCTAAGAAAATACTGTTGAACTGAAGAAATGTACTGAAGTTTTTAAATTTAGCAGTACTACATGTGATTAAGGCAAACAGTAGCCTCAATTTTTTTACATTGTGCAAACTTCTTTGGGTTTACAGTGTAGCTATAATTTTACATTTGACATATATTTACTCTGTATGGATTTCTCGTTGGGCCTGCTTGAGTTTTTGCAGTGAATAGAATAACAGCTTATAATGTCAATTTTTTTGAGTAGTCAGTTGGACCAGAAATGCCACAATATAAATTCTAGTAATTTCCATTAACTGGTCAGTGATAAGAAAAGATTTGATTTGAGTTAAACCGAACAACAACCACCCTGCACCCTTAAGAGCATCCTTACACCACAGGGCCCAGACAAAGATGGCTGAGATACCCTGAGAGTGAGAGTAGGTACTCTGATTTTATGTTTCAGATCAGGATTTGACTCAAATACAGACTAGACACCAAATAAAACCATGTCTTCCATAAATTATGATCAATTCAGTTTTGTTTGGCATCAAACCACAAGAGTCACCTCAAAGTGCTTTATATTGTAAGGTAAAAATACTACAATAATATAGAGAAAACCCCATCAACCACATGTCCCCCTATGAGCAAGCGCTTGGTGACAGTAGGAGGGGGGGTGGGGGGGAGGCTTTTTCTTTATGCCTAGTGTGTCATATTTGATAGAAACAGTTTTTTTGAGTTTTTGAGCCTTCTACCATCGTCGGTGTGATTTTTTTTTTTCTCTCTGAGAACACATTTTAAGTAATTAAAAAAAGACAGTTGTAGGAAATACAATGGAAGTCACATCTAAAAATTGAAATGTACTTAATATATTTTTTTAAAAATTGTCAAATGTATCAATAAACTCTCCATTTAAAAAAAAAATTGAATTTTCTGGAAATATCATATCATATATCATATATCATATTTAAGGTTTTAAGGGTTTGACAGGAAGAAATCGCTGGCAGAACGAGGCTCAGGGATAGGCAGCCATCTGCTGCAACCAGTTTTGGGGTGAGGGGAGGAAGAGAGGGCAAAAGAGAGCAAGAACCATTAATAGTAATGATTAAATGCAGATTGGTGTATTAACACATAGTGAGTGAAAAAAGTTCAGTGAAGAAGATATATTCTTCATTCATTGGAAGCCCCAGCAGCCTAGCTTTATTGCAGCAGATGCAGGGTCACCTAAACCAGCTCTAACTATAGAGCATATAGTTAGCGTTTGATCAGATGACCCTGCATCCTCTCTTAATTTATAGACAGAGGGTGATCAAGGAAGATAGACAGCTAGGAGAAACAAAATAAAGGTGCAGACAATCAAGACAATCATAGGGGAAGTAACACTCAAAACAAGGCAGAAGAGATACTATTACCTATCGATTTAACTATTATAATAAAACAAGAAATAACACAGAGAAAAGACACACCAAAACAAGACACAACAAGAACACCAGAGAGGCACGAATAACAAAGTTGAGATAAAACGGACACTCGCCATAATAATGGAAAAATACCAAAAGATTATCAACATACTAGAATAATAAAGGTAACAAACACAAATCTAATTATAAGGAAACAAAAAAAATCTTAGCCGTAAACACTGAAAAGCAGGAAAAAGGTAAATAGAAAATCAGACATGATTATATTAACGAAGGGATCAAAACTCCAAAATATTACAGAAACTAAGAACCATAGCACCGGGAAACATAGTTCTTCAAAGTTTAAAACCAGTTGCCTCTAAAGCTCAGATCGCTTTTTAATTTAATTATTTAAATTTGTATATATGTTCCAACTATTATTTCAAACTCTTACCGTCCATTTTTCATTGTCTGTGACTTCTTTGTCTGCTTTGCCTTTTTTGACTCTTTTGATTTCATCCATAAACATCCCATCAAAAAAATGAGAAAAGGGCCCATGTCCTTTATATGACAAAATAAACATATGATATGAACAACAGGGTGATTTGTGATAACTTCTTAAATGTTGATCCTGTTAAACACATGGATTTTATTTTCTGCTTTCATTTAAGACTTTGTTAGTCCTAGCCACATCAGTGGTCAAAATCAACATAGTACTTGACATGGGGATGGTTTCATTTTACTTTCATGTCTAATAACACCCTATGATGACTATCTGCAACATAATACTTATGCTACAAAAAGTATGTGTATTACTTACCTAGGTCATGACAAAGACCGGCAATCTGCACACAGAGAACATCTTGGTCACTGATGAGTGATTTCTTCAACTCATCTAACCTCTCCAACTTCTCAAAATTCTCCACATCCTTAGGCTTAAACCTTTGGAACATCTTCGAATCCTCAGGATTCAACTTCTCCAAACCCTCAGACTTGGAGTTCTGCAATTTCTTCAACTTCTCCAACTCTACCAACTTCTCTAGATCCTCCAACTCCTCAGGCTTCAACTTCTCCAAATCCTCAGGCTTCGAATTCTGCAATTTCTTCAACTTCTCCAAATCCTCAGGCTTCAACTCCTGCAGCTCCTTCAAATCCTGAGGCGTCAAGTTCTGCAACTTCTTCAAATTCTTCAACTCCACAGACGTCAACTTCTTCAACTCCTTCAACTCCTTCAACTCCTCCAGTGGCTTGATCTGCTCCAACTGCTTCACCTTCAGAGCTTTTGCAAGCTCACCTGCTAAATGTGCCACCCTTTACAGTAAAATGTAGGACACACACTTTTTAGAACGTTGGCTTAATTGTTTTCAGTTGGTACAGTACTACACTGCTAAAAAGAGTAAAAAAAATCTGATGTCAAGTATATAAAGTTGATAAAGCAGTCTGTCCCTTGTTTTGGATTTTTATTATAATTAGGTGTAAATGTGTGAAAACCAGTGGACATACCCAATCGAGTGTTCAAAGCGATTGTGAGATGCTCCTGGATAAACAAAATAAATCCCCCCAAGTTGCTTGATGTTTCGTAGTCTCTGGAATTGAGGGGTGTCTATGATTTTGACAAGAAGTGGATGTAACTCGATGTGGCCATGGATGGGATCATTAAACACCTTAGTGAATAAAAAGAACAGGGCATAACATTACAACAAGACAAAAAGGAATTAGACTATTTCCAACTCTTACCCACGAACAGGTAGCAGGTCTCAGTCTTTTTATATTTAATTCAGTGTTTTTTAAACAGTGGCAAGTAAGCATTGAGGCTGATGCTAGGCTAATGTTCTTGTAGGATCATGCCTTCTACTGTGGCAATGGCAACTTGTTTAAATAAAATTCTTTCATTTAAAATAAATGTTTTAAATAAAAGAATGTATTTTCCCATGAGGAAATCTAAAGGATATTTTATCCTTGTCCTTTGATACTGTATCAAATTAGAAAAATGGGTTTCATCAATTTATCAGTTATTGTAAGATGAAGATCGAGAGTCATGTTAAATCACCTTGCTTTCTTTGGTTTCACGTTGATTTTCCATAGTGTTGTAGATTGGAAAATGGATACTATCCCTAAAGAGTACATTAAAAAACATAAGAAAGCATAGCAGAAACATACTAAATTAACCGCATAAACAATGCAACTTCTTTTAACATGGACAAACTTACTCTATGCCAATTTTCTCCACCTGATCAGGAATTAGCTGACGAAGATCAGTGATGTTGTTTTCTGGGTACATAAGGAAAAGGTTATCAGTCCTGTGATCTATCAACTGTGACTATTAGACTATTATTATTAGCAATAATGGCAAATTAAGAATGCTCTCAGATGTCAAGCCTTTAGGACGGGATGGTCCTTTTGTTTATCATTTATTTATTTATGTAGCACATTTAATTACAACAGCAATGTTGATCAAAGTGTTGTACAAAACTACAGAATAACTAGTTAAATAACTTATAATATTAGTACCAAACATCAAATACCAAATAACTCTCATACTGTATTAAAAGCCAGTGAATAAAATGTGTTTTAAGATAAGATTAAAAAAGATTGACAGTAGGAGCTTGTCTGATGTGCAGGGGTATAGATTATTTGACTTCCAGGCTTTAACTTCACCAAGACACTGAAGAAAGGGGGCAGAACAATTAGAAGTGTTAAAAGGGGCAAGCTTTTTATTCTCTAAAAAATACTACTACCTGATACAATACAACTACCTGATATCATTCCTCTCTTAGTTTGAATAGTACCCTGTTTTTACTTGCAATCTATGAAAATGTTTTGTTTCCATACTGATATTATTGAAAAAATTCTGAACTGCAACTCTATCAAAACAGTGTTTTTTGTATCACCCAGATGAGATTATAATTTAAAGTTACAGCTGTGTTCTGATTTCTTGCCCCTTTCCAGTTCAAGTACAAATGCTTGGTTAATGAATTATGCTTTGTGTTTTTCCTTAATGCTTTCAAAAATGTTTAATAATAATGGATTAGATTTATATTGCGCTTTTCAAGGCACCCAAAGCACTTTACAATGCCATTATTCATTCACTCTCACATTCACACACTGGTGGAGGCAAGCTACAGTTGTAGCCACAGCTGCCCTGGGGCAGACTGACAGAAGCGAGGCTGCCATCGGCCCCTCTGGGAGGGTAAAGTGTCTTGCCCAAGGACACAACGACCAGGACAGAGAGCCTGGGGATCGATCCGGCAACCTTCCGGTTACTGATGTGCTTCCCAACCCCCTGAGCCATGGTCGCCCCACTTAGAATTAATATTTTGGGTGGAATTCACTAAAGTTGAGCAATTTACAAAATGTATCACTGACTTAAGTCAGCATACAGTACAGCAGGTATTTACAAGTTTACAAAAGTAGTAGCATTTGATCAAAGTAATAGTATTTCCCTTAAGCACTAGTACGAAAATATACTTAAAGTGCCTAAAGTACTCATAATACCTTTGAATAATTAAACAATTCTGACACTAACAATTAGATTTGTGGTAAAATAGATGACAAAACTTATGTTGAATCAACTTGATGAACGAATAAAAATTAAGGGAGGAGAAAAAAAGAAATTATTAGTTCAACACATGCAGAAATTAGAACAATTAATCACTTGTATATGCAGTGTTGGGGAGTAACGGAATACATGTACCGCCGTTAC